GCAGCACTTGGGAAAAACATGCAGGCGAAATCCCAATTCCAGGGAAGCCTGTGTGTAAAAAACAGTACGCGGGGGGGGTCGAGCACTCTCAAACCGTCATCAGGTGAAGAGGGAGAGTAGTATTCATATTGAGTTATTGTGGAGGCGGGGGAGGGGGGGAGGGGGGGAGGGGAAGGAGGGGGAGGAGGGGGAGGAGGGAGGAGAGGAAGGAGGAGGAGGAAAAGGAGGAAAAGGAGGAGGAGGATGAGGAGGAGGAGAGGCGGAGGAGGAGGAGAGGAGGAGGAGGAGGAGGCGGCGGAGGAGGAGGAGGAGGAGGGAGGGGGAGGGGAGTGGGAGGAGGAGGAGGAGGAGGAGGAGGAGGAGGAGGAGGAGGAGGAGGAGGAGGAGGCGGAGGAGGAGGAGGAGGAGGAGGAGGAGGAGGAGGAGGAGGAGGAGGAGGAGGAGGAGGAGGAGGCGGAGGAGGAGGAGGAGGAGGCGGAGGAGGAGGATGAGGAGGAGGCGGAGGAGGACGAGGAGGAGGAGGAGGCGGAGGAGGAGGAGGCGGAGGAGGAGGAGGAGGAGGAGGAGGAGGAGGCGAGGAGGAGGAGGAGGAGGAGGAGGCGGAGGGGGAGGGGGAGGAGGAGGAGGGGCAGCGAGGGCTGCCAAAAAGGAACACTGTAATGCCCCTTAGGAGCCCTTTCGGGCTCCAGAAGGGTGCATTTCGGGCCCGATAAGGGCACATCCCTCCCGGTTCATCGCTCCCTCATTGATTCTCGCCCAAGCATCGCTCGGACGTGTGCATTTTTTTTTCTGGCGAGGACCATCGAGGAGAATGTTGGGGAATTTTGCGAGAATGCATGATATACGCACGAAGCCGAAACATGCACGGGGAGAGGACGTCCGAGCGATGGCGAAGGGGAGGGATGATACGTACGAAGCGAGGACGTGGATAAGATCGGGTGGGGATAAATCGAGAACCTCTGATATCCAGCGGTTCTGAGGGATGGGTAAGAGGTGGGTGTTGCTAGAAGTCCCATTGGCCCAAGGTGCCCCCAGGATTTCCAATCACGGCCTCCAGAGCACTCCTCACGAGGTCCAGGAGGCCCAGGGGCTCCACGATTGAGCGAAAAGCTGGGGGCACCTTGCCAGGGGCACCTTCAGCAACCCCCGAAACACGAAGCCAGGACGAGGATCATATCGAGTGGGGCTAGGTCGAGGATCTCTGAGATCCAGCGGTTCTGGAGGCTGTCTCGGGTGCCGCGGTCTTCTCAGAGCGTTCTGGAACGCTGTGAGAGCATTGCGGAATTCTCTGGAAGGGATTTATCCACGTCCCAGCCCCGTCCGAAGGGGGGGGTGATTCGCCATGAGCCAGGGGAAGAGAGGTACCGATGTCGCTGCGCGTTCCTCGTCGCTGATGAAGCCAACGGCCCGTCCGCAGAGTGCGGCGTTGCAAAATGCAGAACATGTTCAATATGGTCAACGCTTCGCGTATCCCCACCAGCCCTCTGGCGACATGACCAGTTTGTACCTGGCCTTCACTTGCTTCAGTGCTGGTGCGGATCCTGCTTGCAGGACACTTTCCGACGCGGCATGGCACCAACACCGTGGTTGACTGGCGCCGCGGCGTTCAGTTCGTAATTCTAAGGCACTTTGCCACAGGTCTGCTCAATGCATGAGCGTCCCTGGGCGTTGCAGTTCAGCCAGTCAGCCCCTTGCCCCTGCTGCTTTCCAGTTGCCGCTTCTGAGTGCTGGCCCAGCCGGCTTGCGTTGCGCCTGGTAGCTAATTCGGCTGACCCGTGCCCCGGACCCCTTTTCGCCGCCTGCCTTCTGCTGCGC